CTTACTCATCTCTTTACGCTTATGAGTTTGAAAAGAAAGAAAGAAAGAAAAAAAAAGAAAAAGAAAAGAAAGAAGAAAAAAAAAAAAAGGGAAAAAAGGTGGGGGAAAAAAAAAGTGGAACTTCTCAAAAGAGCCGCAGCCAGGGTATGGACATGAGCGTCTACCGATACTTACTTAAGCATTCTTTCGTTCTGGGTCACTCACTGTTATTGTAACCTACTACTTACGTCGCAGGCGTAAGTATTACCCCTCGAGGGTAGGGGAAACAGGGGGTTTAAAGTGGAAACTAGACTTTGGAAGCACCCTCGAGGGGTAATAGTACGTACTACGTACGTAGTACTTAGGCCTGTACCGTGGTACATACCCTATCCCACGTCCCAACCTCCCTAGCCATCCATCAACTTCCCAAGAACTATACGTACGTACGTACGTACCCGATACCTACCTATCTCCCAACCCCCCCAAACCAGAACCCAGCTAGGACAAATTGGTGATCCCGGCGTACTATCCCCGCCCTGCGGACCTGGGTGCGCTCCTACGTACGCAGTACTAGTACTACTAAGTAGTAAGTAGTAAGTAAGTATCAAGTCTCGCGTACCACATCGTATCATTTATGATTATAAGACGTAAGTAAAAAGGAATTGAAGCGCAAAAGGAAAGAGAGAGACGCAAGGCCGTTCGTTGTCCGGAACAGGGTTTTGCTTGGTTGGTTGGTTGGTTGGTTGGAGTATTACCTACCTAGGTACCTACCTACCTACCGACCGACCGACGCCGAGACCGGCTGGCTGCTCTGAGAATCGCGCAGGTGGCAAGTGGAGGTAGTAGTAGGTACTACGTAGGTGAGTGAGTGAGTGCATGCGTGCGAGTAAATCTATCTTGCTTACTTACTGTACTTACCTACTTACCTACCTAACTATCTACCTATCTATCTAGCTACCACGGTACAAGTACAAGCCTAAGCATTATCCCTCGAAGGTACATCTTCGCTGTTTTTATGCGCTTTTATTTTACTAAGCTGTATACCACCCTTCCGCCGCGATTACGTCTAAATAACGCTGTCTCATAGTTCTAATTGAAGCAACAATTCTTTCTTTTTCGATCGAACCTTACGCTTTTGAAACAGCTATTCTTAGTCGAAGATAGCTTTAATAGACTTTAGGATATTTTTCTCATATACAATCTTTATTTATAATCAAATCGTTTCGATCGGGTTAAGATAGGGAGATAGAGCTGGCCATCCGATCAGCTCGATATCACAAGCTTTTAAAACAGCTAATGTACGTAATACAGTAGTACTACTACGTAGTAAATCGAGCAATATGTCTTTTAGCATTACGTAGTATCTTGCTGAAACTTTAATTCGGGATGATCGTAGAAAATC